TTTGCAGATGCAAGATATCTCTCAGATCCCCATAAAGCAAGATCTCAAACTGGATATGTTTTTACGATTGGCGGAACTGCATTTTCTTGGCGCTCCAAAAAACAAACATTAGTCGCGACGTCTTCAAACCATGCTGAGATCATTGCACTCCATGAAGCAACTAGGGAAAGTATCTGGCTCAGAAACATGACTCAACATATTCAACAAGCCAGTGAACTGTCGAACAATAATGACCCGACGGTGATATACGAAGACGGTGATATACGAAGACAATGCAGCATGTGTCGCTCAAACCGAAGAAGGATACATCAAGAGTGACAGAACCAAACATATCCCGCCAAAGTTATTCTTATATGCGCAAGAGCTTGAACGAAACAAACAAATCAAAGTTCAATACATCCGATCAAGCGATAATGCAGCAGATTTATTTACGAAGGCGCTTCCGACGACAATATTTCGAAAGCACGTGCACAATATTGGAATGAGACATCTTCGAGATTTGCACGGATGATAACTCGAGGGGGAGTATGTGCCGCTGTACTCTTTTTTCCTTATCTCGGTTTTTTTCCCACAGGGTTTTTCCAGATAAGGTTTTTAACGAGGCAGCATAAACGCACATTTAATAGTAGTAATTCCAAAGGGGAGTGTTGTAGCAAGTGGAATAACCACTATTAATAAATTATTTATCTTGAAGTGTGTGCCAAACATTTTGCCTATAAAAAGGCATCTTCAGCATTGTAAATTTGTACGAAAAAGTAAGGAGAAAGGAAGAGAGAAAGCTTGTTATAATTTTGATCCGGTTTTTACATTGTGTTCTTTATATTCCCCGTATTTTATAACATAACTAACATTTGATATATGTATCGTGTTGAAATTTTCAATTCCTAATGCTTAAGATAGGTAAGTTTAAACCAACCTTTTTACCTCAACTTGTAGAATCTTTCCTTTTTAAAACGAGGAAACAAAACTGATGCCAAATTCCAATAACGTAATGACTACATACCTCAATTGTATGACATTAATATGACAAAAAGTTCCATTACTATAGTATAGAATTTAATATAATTTATTTATTTTTTTACAGTATAAACTGATGAATACAGATATGACATTTTAAAGCATAGTTTTTAAACCCGGCCAGGTGATTGACCCGGGAAGGTCTCCGGGTCACTGGGTCACCGGTTCAACCGCCGGGTCACCGGGTCAATTGCTGAACCGGATAATTAATTTTAAAATTTTTAAAATTATATATATATATAGTATTTTGTCATATAAATATACATAAAATAACAAAATTAAATGTTTTGTATGTAAAATTTGTATATTAAAGTGATAATAATATTTTTTTAATAATAAATATTTACCATATAAATATATATACATAGTTTTATTTTTAAAAAAATAAAAAA